CCGCCGCAGCTCCCGGCTCATGGCGCTCAGCTCCTCCTGCCTGCGCCGGCTCTCGTCGCGGACGTCGCGGAACTGGGTGTGCTGGTTGTCCAGCAGGGCGCAGACGCAGCACATGGGCTTGCGGCACGCGGGGCAGTAGATGCTGTGAGGCCAAGGGCAAGCAGAAGCGGTGACTCAGAGCGCGCGTTTGTCGGGCTGCAAATCGGCTCATTTGTTGAGCTGACGTCACTACCAATTTTGGGGCAGGTGGCTGGTTTTGTACCCTCCCGATTGCAAATAAAAAACGACGGTGGTTCGCTATCTCCACAGGGTTTCTGCTTCTCTGCTGGGCTGGCTAGAGTCACTGGGGTGACCGTGCAAGTGTTACGGTAGACGTTCGTCCACGCGCCGCAAGAGCAGTGGAGAAATGAGCTCATTGAGGTTATGTATAAGGAGATAAGGCCAAAGAGTATCTTATCTCCATAAGATGCCTACGGCAAGAATATAGGAAATGGCAAGCGAAGGTCATCAACCATCCCTCATTAAATTCTGGCTGCCTTCTTGCTGAGCTCCATCAACCTCACCCTCCTAACCTTAGCAAGGAGCACCCCACACGCTCCCCTCCGTCTACCCTGTCCCCACTTTCCCATCATCAGCTTGAACCCAGCTTCATCCATACCTTCTCTCCATGCCCTAGAGCCCACCGGTCACTATTTCCCACCCATCTTCTCCATGACATGGTGGCAATCAGGACAGCAGAGGGACAAGGACACCCTGCCCAGTCCCACCATGGACTAGTCCAATGAGGTCAGTGACAAGAAACCACCCAGATGGGGACAGACCTCCTTAGACCTACCTTGCAGTTTGGCTCTTGTGGGTCGGGTTGGAGCAGGACAAGTTACTGGTCTCCCTGGTGCCCTTGAGGAAGTCCGTAGCAGACCCTGCCCTGATGTCCATCACCCTCTTGGCTTCGTGGCTATCCCTCTTCAGGTAGCACCGGTGGGCCTCGAAGCACGTGATGCAGAAGAAGTCCTCACACTCAGAGCACCAGAACTCACCGGCTTTCTTGCAGTTGTTGCAAAACAAGTCAACTGTGTCAATGATCTTCTTGTAGACCTTGAGCTTGGCCTGCAGGCTGGTGAAGAGCAGGTTGTCCGTGTCGGGGATGCCGCCGGCCTGCGGGATGGCCGTCTGGCACACAGGGCACTGCCCAACGAGCTTGTTCTTGCTCAAGCAACTGAGGCACAAGGTGTGGAGGCAGGTGAGGAGCTTGAGGTCGGGCGATTCCTGGTGGCAGCCCTCGCAGAGGATGAACTGGAAGTCATCTTCTAGGAGCTTGGGGATGGAGGCAGAGAGGAAGAGGAATGAGCGCTGGGGCGTGTTTTTAAGAGCTTCTGAAGCCACATCTTGGCAGGGGAGGTGACCTGCAAACCCTACTTGGAGCAACCAGTGAGCAACTGTGTCCCACAGGAGATGGCCCGTGCACCACAGTAGGGTTGGATGGATGGAGCCTCGCTGAGCACTTCTTCTCCCTCTAGCAAAGAGGTGGGGGGACAGTCCCAGTCCCCTGGCCATGGGGCTGGGGAGGGTGGCAGGGGGGCAGCGCAGG